AAACAGCATGATAATATATTAAGTAATCCAAAGTATTCAGAATACGTTACTCTCATTGAGTAACGTAACGGAATACGTTACAGAATACATTTTGGGGCATTTATTCTGTAATCTGTAATGGAATACATTTTAAAAGTAACCTTCCCAACACCGATTATCTTGCACCGGTTACTGAAAAGTGTGCATAATTTAATAAGTTTATTATTATAAATACCAATAAATCTTAAAGAACTCAAAAGAAGTAATGGGGAAATGTTAAAAAAACAACTAAAGATAAAGAATATCCAAACAAACAAGCCAGCAGCCTTTCTTGATAGCTTGAGCTTGATAGTTGATTGATTATTTATCAATCTTAAACGTCATCTAGATGTCCTCCTTAGACTTTCCAGAAAAGAAAGCTTGTGTTCAGAAGCTGTCTCATATTTTTCCATCGAGAAATTAGTATTAATGTCAAAAATGCTGCTCCCTAACAGTAAGTTAACGACCAAATCTCCTTCTTTCTCATCCTTCTGAGTTAATTAATTGAAGCATCATTAGCGTCCATCACAGGTTTATAATGATAACATCAGTTGATGAGTGTGACAATAAAGACATGTGAAGTTTGCCATGAAAGAAATCAGACAGTTTACATGCAGACACATGTAACTGACTTAAAAGTGTTTTATTGCTTCATTCACAGCTGTTTAGTAACCAAATGTGAATCAGACGCCACTGCCTTAAAAACAACAACAAAGATATATGCAGTTCTTGATTTTATCATCGTCACTCTAATGAAATTTTGATGAGGAAAGATGAACATTTTTGATTTAACAGCATCATCCAAATCCTCACATTGATCATTGATGAAAACTTTGGGTTCTCATCTGTTATCTTGTCCTGTCGCATGTCTCAAGATTCTGTTTTGGGACCTGCTGTGTTTGCACTGTATTTATTAGCATTTGGAGAGACTTGGGCATTTTTAAAGGGGTCACATATCTTACATATGACATGATATCCAGCTATACATTTTATTTCTTCACAGAATGTTGCAAAAATAATTATCAGTTATCATTATAAGTTCTTGTTTGTGCTCTTGACAGCTTTGTTGCCACTGTGATCAACAATCTTGGCCATCATTGGCTCTTAGCTTTGATAACCATGTTAATAGTCTTTGTCATTCTACTTTGTCCATGTTTTGTGCCTCAGTTGAATGGTGTCCAATCGTAATTCACTGTAAACTAGTCTCAGTAAGTCACTTATAAATGGTCCAAAGTGGTGATTACTTTGAGAGCTCTGCATAGTCACATCTGCTGACATTAGTGAACTCCTGCATTAATAAATATCATGCAGGTCATTGAGGT